CATCCCCTTTTTACATATGTGTAACATTTTTTTTATATTGATGCTCAATTGTTTTAAAGTAGGGGGTGCTATCTTTCGGGGGGTGCTATCTTTCCAGACTTTACGGTATTAATATTAAAAATGTCAAAGGAATATCCCGTAATTCCGGAAGTTTGATTTATTGGACGTAGATTAGGAGTCAAGATTGTATGGAATATGTAACATCAATCATAGCGAGATTAATTTTTTATTTATTTTGGTTATCTACCTAATATATTTATATTGTACTAATTAGTTGCATATTAACAGATAAAAACATTTAAAATGAACATGTTTGTACATAATAATATTTAATTTCTCATATTTTTTTTATATAAAATACAACAAAGTAATCTTCTCACACTATATATATTACGTCGAATAATAATAATAGGAAAATGGTTTTATTTACAACAAGGTAAACTAGCAATGATATATACTTTTATCTAGATTAGAATTTAGCCGAATTGGCAACTCTGTTTACATTAGTATTAAGTAGTCTTTATGTTTCTAAAAATGGATAATTCAATAATTCAGTATAGCGTATCGCGACCACACACAACGTAGTGCAACAATGTTTTTTAGTTTTTATTCTTTTTAAGCTTCTTTTTAAGGAAAATGAATTCTAAAAATATAAAATAAATAAAACCTTTAGTATAAATAGTTATCTATTCTAAAAAGAAAATACGTACAACGAAAAAAGTTTTTTATGATCTTTTAGTTAAAAAATTTTGAATTTTGACATTATGAAGCAACAAAATAATCAATTAACTACATCCGCTTATCAATTTAGAAAAAGAAAATTTTTGACCTTAATCTTAGTAACTATTGTTTTTTTTCTATTGACTTTATCTTATTTTACACCATCAACACCTTTTGCTCAAGAAACTGCCAGTAAACATTATTCTGTCATCACCAGAACAACTGAATTTGTTATTGAAGAGACTCAACAAAACGAAGAGACTCAACAAAACGAAGAAAATGATTATCTAACGATCACTGTTTCTGCAGCAGATACAGCTACTACCACAGAACTGATGCCACCACCACCACCACCAGTAGAAGAAAGTACCGTCACTTTTCCAAATAATTGTACAAAAGATTTATCTAGGAATTCAAATATTTTCCCAAATCATTATAATTTGGTATTAATAATTTCTTCAAGGATCGAAGACTTTAATCAGAGAAAATTATTGAGGAAATTGTTATTCAACATAAATGATAATTTAATACCTTGTATGCATCAGGACAATAATGAACAACCCTTTCATAATATCTATTATCAATTCTTAGTAAAAAATATAAATGGTAAAAAGACTAAAGATTATGATGGGGAGATAAAAAGAAATTTGATAGCAGAAAAAATGGAATTTAATGATTTGACAGACATTACTAGTGATGATGGTGATGATTGGCAAACTTCAATGTTAAAATGGGTAAGTTATTATTTCACTGTTTCGCATTACCCGCGATCTCCAATTTAATTTCTAAATATGCAACCCACCAATAAAATAACTTTTTATTTATTTTATAGTCTCAAAATTTAAATGATGAATTATGTATATCGTATGACTTTCTAGCGATTCAAGATTCCTTAACTTTACCAAATTTAGTCAAACTTCAAAAGATCCTATATTCAAAAACGCATTTGATAGGAAACAACAAAATAAATAATAAACAGAATTTAATTTGGGGATCGTTTAGAACAAATCTAACTGACAATATGTTTACTGTTTTAGGTTCAAATGTTATTCCAAAGATTTTGAAGGATCCTTTAATCAAAGAATCCACAACCAATTACACAAATATTGTTTCAAGATTTGTTAGGAACAAAATAGAAAATTATAATAATAGTAACTTTATAAATATTAATGATAATGATATTATAATAGTTAATGACAATTTAACTATTATAGAATGGCCAAATTCAATCAACAGTATATCATCTAATATAGATAATGTGATTGCAATAGGTAATATTTATCAAGATTGGATTATGACAGATTTATCATCAAGTTTATCGATAGAACCGATAATACCATGCAAATCCAGAATGAATTTAAAAAAAAGCAGTACAATTTTAAATTATTACAAGAATGATGATTTAAACAAAAGCTCTAGACATTCAGTAGCTATAATAACAAGCAGCTACTTATATGCAGACAATTGTATGAATATTGCAGCTGCTTTATCTGCTGATAATAAACGTGTTTATGCTAACAAACATGGTTATGCATTTGTGGCTAGATCTACAGAATACTGGCAACAAACATTCCGTAGACGTCATAAAGTATGGGGAAAACTTGATTTCGTAGAAACTATATTACCATATTATGAATGGTTGGTTTGGTTGGATATGGATGCGATTGTTGTTAATCGTACATTTTCTGTTGAACAATTCTTTGAAAGTATTAAAGAAAGAATGATTAAATCAAATGATACACGTGATTTTAATGATATAAATTTCATTGTGGCTAGACCATCTGGTGATGACATGATAAATGCCGGAGTGTTTTTTATTAGAAATACAAATTGGGGCTTTAGATTTATAAGAGCTGTTCAAGGTAGAATTGATAGAGCCTACAGAGGAATGAAAGAACAACAAGCCTTAAGGGATGCAATAGCAAAACCTGAATGGGTAAACCAGGTAATAAACTATAATCTTTAATTTGTTGGTAGTAATTAATAAATTTTTTAAATAAAAAAATTTAATCAATGAATATTATTATTATTATTGCAGATTTACTATATTAATGAAGAAGATCATGTTATAAACACTTTTCCTGATCGTTATTTACCAGGCGATTATATTTTACATTATGCACCTGAAGAGGGTTGTCCTGCCATACCTGTTATGAATGGATTGCAAAAACTTGAAAAACTTGAAACAATTAAAGATTATAAGATTGAATTACCATTTTAATTTATCACCACCACATTTTAATCACTCTATATTTCTCAAAAAATGTAATAAATACTCTGATAATCAATTTTACAAATTTAAATCCCTTACTTAGGATAGGATAGGATAGATGATATGTGATTTTTAATTTTTTGATATAAATTTAGAAGAATTGATAATTTATTTTGCTAATAAATTTTTTACATTCACAATTGATTTTACTCTGCACACATAGTTGTATGAGGTATTGATGTTATGGGCTCAGGATCATTGATTATTAATTATCATTATCAGTTGTTCTTGGGAGAGAAGAGCGAGTAAATGACGAGGAAAAGTCTCAATGTTTCATTTTCATTTGTTTTCCTATTTTAATCATCGATTAGATTATTTTAAAAATAACGCTTTTGATCAGCAAAAATGTGTTCCCATTCACTTGTTACACTAGACCGGGAAAAGATCCGATATCAGTATGGCCAACTATGATTTCATTGAAGTCCTAATCGCTGCTGCCACCAGCTAAACATATCCTACCATCCTAATACAGGTAAGTTCGTTCCCTTATAAACGGATCTAGTCTCTATCCATTATAAGTGTTCCCGTGTAAAGAAATGCTCCTAATATTACAGACAACATTCACATCTTGATTTCCAATGTGTCAGACGGATTGATTTGTAGACTCTGACAGATAGAAGTTTTGATATGCATTTTTTTTATGCGTAGTTAACTTCAAAGCCAAAAATTGAAAAAAAATCAAGCCAACGCAACTCATATGCTATGTAAAAGTTTGTTCTACACATCAATATTGAACTTCCCGAATGTTTCGAACTTGGGAACTAAAGGTAATTCGAGCGCGTTTTGATTTTTTTGTTTTATGGAATGTAGTTTTTTGTAATAAGTATTAGTAAGGAAAGAAATATTAGCAATATTTGTTATGGTTTTAATGGTTTTAATTTGTAATTTGTTTCAACAATTTAATGAATATTATTGAAACTATGAATAAAATAAATTGAATACTTTTTCGACAGTGCCGATATAATGAATCCTAATATCATGCTATTATTACACTATTACATACTATTAGTCATTCCCTGTAAAACCAAAGAATTTACTTTTTGGGAAATTTCAGCTATGTTGAACTCTTAGAAAGATACTCTTGGTTTCTTTATTGTTTTAATGATTTTCTGTGACAAAATAAACCAAAGTCTTCCGGATGGTTATATACCTACTATGTTAAAAATAATTATTTCCGCTCAAAATTTGCCTGTAATTCTGCTCGATTTTACAATTATTTATTCCAAAATCTTGTTATACTAGAGGTTGGAATCGTCCAAAAAATCCTTAGTCGACTACTAGTTGGCCAAAAATTTCTTTAGTCGATTATTTTAGTCATTAGTCGACTAAATTTTTTTTATATAACAATAATAACAATAATAATATTTCGTTTTTTTTTTTTTTAATTTGAAAATTACGAATTCATTTCCATTTGAATCTTACTTTTTCAAAACACTTCCACACAAAACCATGTGTTACGATTTGTTTTTTTAAAGGTCTTCTGGAACCACCGCTTAAATCATTGGAACTTGAAGTCAATGAACTATTGGACCTTATATTGGAAGTGTTTATTCATTCACATGTAAAATTATCATCAACAACACACTACTATTGTCATCATCATCATATTGATACTCTTCCGCATAAAAATTTTCCATTTTGAATGATAAAATACAAAAATCGTAATTGGTCAGACAATAATAATATTAGCATAATAATAGTATTAGTATTAGTATTAGTATTAGTATCATTGATAGTCGACTAATTAGTTGATAGATATGGGCAACCATACATTGTGATCAAGTTTTATGGTATGATAACAAGACCACACTAAATTTTTATATTAGAGGATATTTTATTTATTCTAGTATAAATTATACAATGTGTGATTTTATTTCTATTGCTATGGTTCCACTACATAAGCATAAATTCTTGTATCAACTTTGAAATTGCGCTTTAATTTGAATTTCCTTATCAAAGGTATTAGTTAACGTTAACACTTTAATGTTAACATGTAGTAAACACCCAACATAAAAAAAAATGTCCAAACCCCATGACTACAAATATATAGAAAGAATTGATAATTGATCTTTTATTAATTTAAAATTATATTATCCAAAATAAATGGCCATTCAATCATTCAGTAATTCGTTTCTAATTCTTCTAAAGAGGCGTTCGGATGTTTCAGCCACTCTTGCTCTAGTTACTTATGTTACAAATATAGAAAGAAAGCAAATAAATTGTGGCTTTCCGATAAATGAAATTTCTTCAACATAACAATGTAACACCAATTTATGTTTTGTGTAGTATGAAAATGTATGAACAATATTGTTTCTGTAAAACATTAATTATTTCTTTTTTTTTTTTCCTTCATATATATATATTTTTTTTTTTTTTAAAAAACAAAAATTTATACCATAATTTCCTTCCATTCCTTTCCCACCATCTATTCCGTTCTTTTATTAAATTCAATTTTATAATTTACATTTATACCATTAATTATTTTTATTTAAAAATTATAAAATAAAATGTGTTTTTCGGCAGCAAAGTGGAAGAGAGAACAAGTTCAAGATCATAAGTTTGATTTTGTTAATATAAAAGAATTTAAGGAAGAAAGTTGGTTACGTAAAATAAAGTATTCGTTTGTATTTCTGGTAGTAATAAAATCAGTACTTGTATACGTGGGTGATTTATGGACCGCTGGCGTTTTATTACTTGGTCATTGGGGGACATCAATACAGCCAGTCATTCCTATAACAGTTTCAAAATGGATATTTCTTGGTAGCATCTTAGCTTCATTTCTATTATTGATTCTGGATGGAGTAAAAGCAAAATCAATCTTGATTTCAAAAGACATTTCATATACTTTTACAAACACTGTAGCATATAGATATTATACTGTAAAAAGTTATTCATATTATTGTTTCTTTTCTCAAATTAATAACTCACAGAAAATAACTGATAGAATAGCATTTTTTGTATTTTTCACATTTAAGGGTAACTAATTAACTAAACGTTGTATTTTGATATTTTAGAAAAAAGCAAAGGTTTAATCAGTTAATTATTTATTTACTTATAAACAGGGTGGAAACGCCTTTTATTTGCTGAAGCACCACGTCAAGTCATTAATGGATTTACACTATTTTCACTTTTTAAATCAAACAAATCAAGAAGATATTTTGATTTGGGTGCCTATGAATCAGTATCTAACGTTCAAACTTTTGCTGTGTTTGTGATGTTGTTCACAGTTTGTGCACTTATTATATCAGCCACTATGCTTATTTTTGCTTTTCTGTTATATATTCCATTATTATGTCATATCAGAGGAAATTTAAAAGAATTTTGTTGTCACAAAATTGACAAAAGGTACGTAATTTATATTATTATCATTATTATTATCGGTTTAGTTTTAATCTTCAAAGTTTTTTTAATAAAATTCACATAATAAAATATATATTGGTAGAATAACTGAAATACTTAAAAAGAAATCCAAAAAACGCTATCAACAAAAACAACTAGAGGCTTCAGAAAAGAAAAAGACAATGCAAACGGATCCAAGACCATTACGCGAACCTACCTTACCAACAATAGAAGATGTGCCTCCATACGGCGCGCCACCGCCACCAATGCCATATTCAAATTATTTAAGTTCTCCTCCACCAATGTTTGATGATAGAATGTCGAATAAATCACCTGAACCAATGAATCCTCCCCCGTATATTTCGAGGCCTAATACACCTGGCTACCATCAACCTCCTTATCCACAAACTTCCGCTGCTGGTCAGCGTCCACCCCAACATATAATAAATTCTAACGAATTATTTGATTACAAAGCTCCCCTTCCTCCACGGTCTATCTCGCCATCACCTTCAATATCATCACAAGGATCAAATCCTGGGAGATCATATGGCAACACGGGTTCAATTGTTCCAGCCAGGTATCAATATGATAACAATAGGACACCAAAATATAATAATTATCAACAACAAGGTGGTGGGATAAATAGAAATAATTTTTATTAATAGTAATATAATCATTAATAAAAAGTGATGGGGGGTCGAAATAAAAAAAAGCCTAAATTAATAGATTTATTTTTTTTTTGTTTTTCAATAATAAATAATAATAGTAATATAGTGTTAACAAAATAATTTAATTTCAGGGATCAAAGTTTAATTAGTTAACATCACAAACGTAATGTGATCATGATATTAAAGGTTTTATAATGAGTGCTTTGTACTTATGCTTTAAATAATACATAGGATTATCTCTGTATAAAATTGTAATTAAAGTTGAAATGAACCTGATTTTCCTTTAGCTATGAGGATAACTATAGTCTTAAATATTTGAGCCTTGAAAAGACCTTGGGAATAAGGTTTCTGCCGAAACTCTCTTTATTAGTAGCCGAAATTGCCAAATACTTTGGGCAAAATTTACTTTTTTATAAGCCCAACTATTTTTGTTATTAGCCAAAATTGGGCGAACTTACTTTAAAGTTGTTTAAGTTAAAATAAGTTGATTGGTATGGTTTTTTAATATTCATGTTTATAAAAAATGCCGAGAAGCCCAAATTGCCCAAACTAGTTTGGGCTTTGAGAAAACAGTTTGGACCAGAAACCTTACTCGGGAACTACTTGATAAATAGATTACCCTAAATTTTTGAATTTACCCAAAATCTTATTGGCTAATTTCGAGGATCCTTAACGAAAATAGACTAATTCATCGACATCCAAGATCAACGGTGATTTTACTCTTAATAATAGGATCATCCAACCTTACCAAATTTTCTCCAACCAAAAAAAAAATGTAACCTATCTATTACTATGTAAAGAATCTGATAAAATTTGATGTTGTTAATTTGCCTCTAAAATAAAGGGTAGAAATTTTCCCAGGCTGGCAGGTTGAAAGCATAGGAAGGATGAACTAGAGGCAGTTGAGCCAAATCCCCATGAGTAACATTGGTACACCTCCAAAAGTGTAGGTATTGCTAATGAGGATGAACAGTTCATTGCTTACCATAGATATTTCATTTATTATAATGGCATTGATTTTTTGTAGCTCAATCTTCTATCTTTCAAGGATGAGTGTATGGCCTTTCCACAATGTTCTGGACGGCAACACAAATAGGAGCTATCAATAAGTGTTCTTTTCTTTTAGACTAATGATTTGTCTTATCATGAGAGACTTTCCAAACCCATAAAAAGAAGCAGGGATATCTTTCTTTATCTGATGATTTTCCAAGTGTTGCACAGGTGCTGTAAATACTATATGGCTCATTCTGGAGTGACTGTAATATACATGCTGCCAAATCCCAAACTACTTTGTACATCCATAGCATTCTGTCTTCCAAATAATAAGTGCTAGGATTTGTGAAAGTGATCAGCAACTCGTTTGTCATACTAAATTCTTATTGGTTAGGAAAGCAGGACAGAAATATTGATCTAAATTTGGGATGTACAAAATAATTTGAAATTTGGGATTCTTGATTTTTAATTTGAGCAGTACCCAAGTGAAGGGTGATGTGATGCCAGCTGATGAACATGATATCAGATAGATCTTGATTCTCAAGCTCAGGTAAGAGTGATCTTAATATTGTCACATATGCTGAAATAATGTTCTTTTTTTTAGGTAGCTATTTTTAACTGAATTTATTACTTTGCTGTATCTTAGGGGAAACTTTCTCAGTATGTGGTAAACATCCTAGCAAGACTTGTTCTGATCTTGCTGCAACCTTCATCACAAGTTGTTGAAAGAAAAGGGCTCACTGTGTATCTAATAAAATGTAAGAGAATGATGGGTGATGTTCACTGGTCAATCATCCTATCTTTCTTATCTTTGGTGTTGAATAATTTCGATTTCAGACCCGAGATAGTGGCTGGGGAAACCCTTTAAAACATGGCTCTCTGTTTGATGGTTATAATAATGTAATCTGATGCTTCATGACCAAACTGTACAATGTTTTTTCCATGACAGGCTCAGGAACATCTGCATGGATTGTGTAGGTAAAGCCATGCATGTGGATCATTCCACAGTTTTGAAGTTTGCCACATTTGAAGAAATGCTCCCAATTACCCTAATTCACCATCCCAGGGTCCTTCCACAATTTGTTCCAGCATGTTTCAGTAGTGTAGGTAGATGTGCAATTGGTGGTTGCTTGGCATGGTGTTACCATTTCATTAAGTAGGTCCATTTGTCTTTGGCCATCACCCCAGATCAGGGTTTCCAATTAAGATCAGGAATTTGACATTGTTTGATTCAACAAAACCTGTAATCAGTCTACCATGCATCAGGAAATTTTCCCTATCGTAATATGACATCCATAAATTTTAATATGTAAAGTTGTAATATTTGCATAAAAAATTATGTAATATTTACACTCAATGTAATAACTGCATAATATTATGGGCCTGCCATAACTTATGTAAATATTATGTAAATCCACATCAGAAAAAATTTCCTGATGAGGGAACCTCTTCTGGAAGTTAACTGCAATAAAGGTTAAAGTTTTGTTAGTAATCATGTATATAGGAAAACACTGACATATGTATTGCCAATGTTTGATATAGAGCTTTAATCATTTCACCAAGAGAATTGGTTCAACAGGTAAATTAAAATGATTTAGATATAGGCTTTTTTATTTGATAGCTTTTATTATATTTAACTTTATGCATTAAATTTTAAAATTTTTACTAATATATGGGGCATGCTGCAACAAAACCAGACAAGTGAACATTAGTATTACAGGGATCAAAATTTAGTCATTTATAATGTGATTATATAATTAACAGTTTTATAATATCCCAATTTGTTTTTTTAAGTGATATAGAATTGCCCCTATATAAAAATAGTTAATATGAAGCTAATTTACATTAGGTCTACCATGGAAACCAAGAATTATAGTACCATCAGAAGCATTTTGAAGAAAGAACAAGGTGAAAAAATTGCTCCTTACATTTTCAAAATAAATGATACTCAGACAATTGAAGTTTATCTAAGAAAAGGAAAGATTGCTTATGAAATTTACCAAGAAAGAAAAATAATAAATGTTAGAAAAAGAAAGCAGAATGAAGATGTGCTATTATCCAACAAAAAAAAAAGAAATCCTTAGAAGAAAAATAATCTTGTTGTTACAATAATTGATTTATTTTTTCCTTTTAATTCTTCTAATGACATAAATCACAGCAGTTATAAACCTAAAAAGTTATATATACTATTTATAAATAGGTTTATCATAATAATTCCTTAAAATCTTCATTACATTTATAATCAGGAAGAATGTAATCTTATTTTTATCAGTAATGCTGTAGCTACTTTTTATAATCATCAATAAGATATCAAAAGCCAGAACATTTTCTCTAACTTACATCTAAAAGAAAACAACTATCATTTTCTTTGATAGTTGGAATGAATTTCAATTTATACAGAGGAAAATAACCAAAAATTACTCAATCAAGGTCATTCCTTAGTTTCTTTAACTTCAATTTGAGCAATTTGACCATTCTTTTCCTCTTTTAACTTCTTGTTTTCCTCTTCTAGTTGCTTAATTTTTTCTTCTAAACCCTTCATCTTATCCAATAATTCTTGTTTCTGCTTTTTAACTTTGTTCCTGAGACTTTTCCTGAAACTTAGTTACTTCTTCCCTTTTGATATTTAATTCTTCTTTGGCAGTTGATAACTCTCTTTCTAGTTCTCTATTTTTATTTTCTAGATGAGAACTAAAAACCTATGAAAGTAGTTCTTTATCAGAAAGTGGTTCAGCTGATTTGGCTCTCAAATGACTACAAAAGCACCTATTTCTATTCCTCTTTAACCTAGCACATCTTTCACAGCATGAGAGAGTGTCATTGTCATAATCTTTTTTACAAATAAAAACTATGTCATAGTAACCATCAGGACTCCAAATGAGCAAAATCAAGAAAAATTCCACCTGTTTCAAATAAAGAAGCTTTATTAGCAATAGAAAAATTAAACACAACAATCTGAAAAGTTGAACTAGGCAACAATGAAATTAAACCATTAAAAAGTCTTAAGAGAAAAATTAAAAAGATAGAATTTAATTCAAATCAACAATTAACATTAGTAAATAATTTATTTATTTAAATAAGGTTTATCCACATGATTATCTACAAAAATTTCCTATAACGACCCAGCCAAAAGTCATTATAGAGAGAGCGTACTGTATAGAAGGAGCAATGAAGAATCAAATGAACTTCCATCAATTTGCTGTCAAAAATTACTTCATTATCATCTTCTGAAGGTGAAAAAAATATTAACATAATATCTGGATTAAACAAGAGTCTTCACATGTTACCAGTGCCATTATTTGATCCAATATGGTTAAAAGAGATAAGCCAAATTAATTTAAAACAAATTTCAGATGTATTTGAAGCTGAATTCATAATTACCGATATAGTTGATGATGACAATAATAATAACAATATTGATAATAATAACGATGTCGATAATAATATTCACAAACTAGAAACTAATATTAAATATGGAGATGACATTAATAATGATATTTATAATAGAAATGATAATGTTGCCAATAATTTAGATGATGAAGATGACAATGACAACAACAATGAAATAGCAATAACTATAATTTAGATTATAATCTAAATTACCAAGAATTGGCTACCAAGCTAAGAAGGCCTTATGGATTCTTTTCAGGTGCATTTGCATATTATTGACATAACAAATGGGAAACTGAAATTCTACCGAATTCTTAGTTGGGAGTATTAAGACAACTTTTTGAGTGGTATATTTATAATGAATATCTTACTATATAAATAATTAATAATTTATTGTAATTTAAAAAAATTAGAATATAATCTATTTAATTTTTTGCAAATAGATAGATTTTAAAAATTATTTAAACAAAATTTTTACAATTAAATCCAAAGTTTGTTATTGTTTTTTCTTATCTTCTTTGCTTTTATATCCTTTTGTTTCAATATATCTTTCTGGGATGCCTTTAGTTTCTATTAAATATTTCATAATTATCTTAATTTGTGGTCCTTGTGCAATTATTTCATATAATGGATTTTTTGGTGATGAACTTGATATTTTATCAACTAATGATGTTCATTCATTCATTCACAAAAGAAAAAATTTAATGTTTCTATTATCTATTTATTATTTATATTTTTCTAAACATATATATTTAAATCTTACCAGTCACACTAGATGCGCATAATTTTTTAAGAGGTCCTACCAATTCATTTAAATTAATCTCGTATTTTTCAAGTCCTCTGACTGATGTAACAACTTTATTGCCCATAAGTTTTGACTGAATAAGTTCTACTTTATGAGGTGTTCCTTTCCTTGATTTAAAAAAGCCAAATTTCGTTAAAAAAATTTTTTTGATTATTTTGATGCACAAAGAAAACATTACTCTCCCCCCAAAAGTAAAGAAAAATACAAACAATAATTTCGTTTCTTGATTTGGAAAAGTAAGTAAATGAAATTTTTCCATTTTTTCACCAATATTATATACTAAATCATTATATGTCAATTTATCAGGTGCTGCTACTCCTGTCTTCTCTGCGAAAATTGAACGAAGTAATTCATCCAATATTATGAATCTTCAAATTTAATTTAAAAGTTATTATAATTGAATTACAAGATAAAATAAAAAGAAGTGAGTCAGTCTTAGTGAATATGAAGATTAGTAAATATATATCATATGTATGTATAGATAATAACTTTCTATTTTCACGATCTGATAAATTTTTTGTTTTCACATAACCCGACACAACATTTTTCAATTCCTTATACTCGTAAACATTATCTTTACTAATTTAAAAATAACAATGAATTATTATTATGATTATTAAATGCTAAATAAAAAAAAAGTCAAATAAATAAATAATAAAAACCTTTTATTTTGATTTTCAAAAAGATCACAAACTGCATCTCTTGGTTTAAAAACCTCAACTATTTGAATTTTTTGTATTTCTGAATTAGACCCTGTAGTAGTAATATTTGAACTTTTTTCAATACTTTTATGTGACCTGAATGTTGTAAGTCTTGGTTTTTTTTTTTTTTGAGACAGACATAAAATATTAATATCATAGCACAATTATATAGTAATTAAATATATTATTAAGAATAAATTTACTCGTCGTGTTCCCAATTGACACTATCTAGAAGTATTTCTCCTTTCCGAGCTCTTAATTTAATCACACCTTTTTTTTCAATAGCTTTTAAAAATTTGGTCAACTGCACACACACATATGGTTTATTAGATAATATAGAATTTTAATTACTTTTTTTTTAAAAAATAATAATAATTAAATACGTTTTTATGACTAGATTTTTTAATGTCAACTGTATCTTCTGTTCCTATTGGACGACATGGAAGTAAATAAGAATCATAAAGTTTGGATCCTGATATGGGCAAAGTTTCTTTTGGTGTCAACTTCTCTAATAATGCCTGATACAATGATGCTTGTAAAATTTCATCTATCTCTTTAGAATTCAAAAAAAAAAAATATATATAAATTAATTAATTAAAACAAAAAAAACCATATTTAAAAGCATTGTTGTTTTTATTTTTATGTTTAATAATGATACCTGAAACTGATACATTTTCAGGTTCCGAGTTAGTCAAATTATCTTCATCGACATCATTTTGTAAACAAGCTTTACTACTTTCTGTAACTATATCATAGCTATTACTATTACTTTTTCCTACAGCTGCATCATATTCATCATATTCAGCAGCCACTTGATCATTCGAATCAGATGGCAAAGATTTATCACCCATGTCCCATAAATAATCTTTATACATGTGAATAATTTGAACAGCTAAACCCTTTTTTTTAGATCCTCTTTCAAGTGAGCTTGTTTCAACTTTCATTATTCCAATGCCAACAGGATAATTATGCCCTTGAATTGTAATGGCCACAATTTCATCGATCTTAACATTAGGCAATTTTTCTGGTGGGTATGCAATACCAGGAATCATTAAATTGGCACCACCAACTAATTTATCAACTACAATTCTGAATGTTGGTATTTTTGGCAATATATCAGGGAATTTCCATAATGTATAAACTATTTTTAGACATAAAAGAAATTCAAAAAGATTTTAATTTATAACAATAAAAATATAATACATTTTCAAAATTATTTACCAGTAGGTACCAAAATTTCTTCCTTATCTATATCAAGTGTAAGCCAAATAGGATGCTTTTCTTGGGTAACATATAAGACACCATTTATTCCTGAATGGGTTGTGATTTTAACTGATTGAATTTGTTCGGGTAAAATAATAGCAGAGGCATCATCTTTATTTTCAACGTCTTTGTTTTTTTGTTCGAATGCTTCCAGAGTTTGAAAAGAGCTAATTAATTTATCTTTTAATTTACGGCGGTCTGATGCTCGTAACAATGAATATTGTTTAATATTTGAAATTGGTTTCTTGAACATTTTGCCTTAACAATAAATATTATTGTTGTTGTTTCCCCCTTTATTGGTATCACGTTTTAATTAGACACGTGAAACAGCGCGCTTGGACCTTTTTTGAGATCCCCCCAATCAGTTATTTCCGCAGTTGTGATTGGCCCAAATATTTAAAATATTCATTATTATTTTTCTATTATAGTGGTCTTCTGCCTTTGGGTCATTAATATTTGGATTCTCATTAATAGTTTTGAGAGATGGAGGCTCTGGTGTGTTCAATGGTGCATGGGGACCTTTTCTGATCAGTTCAGGTTATTAACTTAAAAACTATTAAAACCTATAACATTATAATTAAAAATACATTGCTTGTTTGTTAGTCTTTATTAGCATTTTGTAAACATTCTATACTAATTCCATTGAAAACAAAAATTAGATCAAATTCAACCCCCAGAAAATTCTCCATTACAGTCAAACCTCGTTTCAACAAAGTGGCTAGACATATAAGAAATTTTCATTCAAAATTCGTTAAAACGAGATTTTCAACGAATTTTTGTATATTTTCGTAACAAGATTTTTAAAAACGCGAATTTAATTATAATTCGTTGGAACGAAGTTCGTTGAAATGAGAGTTTGACTGTATTTTGAATTTCTTCAATGATTTTGGTTAATAAATGTTAGATCTTTGTATAGGTGGTCAATCAGCAATAACTGTTGACACTTAATACTTTTCCAAATAATTCTTAATAATTACAAAAAATTAAACGTTTGCTTTCTTCACTAAATTAAACACCCAAAACAAAACCTTTGCTTATACCAAAGCAAATAACCAAAACCTCTGAGTTCTATACCACTCTTATAACCAATGGACAATTAAACCCTACTCTTTAATTCCCAACCACAAAAGTGTTTTCTCAACAAAAAAGAATTATGGGAATGTTTATTTGTAAAGAAATAATTTTTATACAGCATATATTAACTTTCTGCCTTTATCCAAGCAAAGCTCTGAATTATTAATGTATGGTTATTTAATTACCCAGTTGATCGATTAATTAATTTCGTTTGGTCAAAAAGTGATGTTATTTTCTCGATCTTGTTTTAACATTTGTGCAAAACAATTTAAACAATAATAATTGAGTTGGTTGAGTTGCACTTAATTTTCCGCCTCACATTTTATCTCTTTTATGCTGAATTATTCAATATTTTTTGTTTGGAAACCATTTTCTCTTCCTCTCCTCTTCTCCTGATTTTTCAATATATGTTTTACAAAAGGATTTTAAATTGCTTTGATTTAATTTAATATTGGTTCTAATAATATGTTGATGGTAAAGACATTCTCTCACATCAACTTGTGGCTTGTACTACTAGCTTCGAACGTCCGGGAAATTTAAATAAATGAGCATACATCCACATGACAAATTGCTACGCGGACATTTTCGAACATTGTCATGTCCCGTGCACAAAATAATAATAATAACAGATCTAAAAAAGGTTTAAATGCGCATATGTTCTGGTTTCTCTTTTTCTTTATACATCAATGTGATAGTAAGTTTACAACGAATATGTTGACAAGGAGTTGAAGGTAAATATTTATATTTATTTAAAATTAAAATTTGAATAACTGTTTGTCACACTGGAGCAACAAAACAACAATTAACTACTGAACTAAGATCACACACAACAGTTACACTTACAATAGGTTGGCCGACAACACAGGCCGGTATACGTCACAATCCATTGCGGTAACAACAAGTTATCAATAGAAATTTGGAAGTTGTCAAATTTTAAGCGTACTTTCTCCCATCTTGTAGGTGAAACGAAAGTGTGACAAGGTCTTTTAAGCCACCTGTTATCAAAATGGCACACTTCCTTTTGTATATAGGAATAAAAAACGAGATTTGTACTCATAGTGCCTACATGAGTCACAAAAGTGTCATATGCAATGCACTTGCTACTTTATACTGATACACAGGACATCACATAGCATGTGTGTGTGATGAATTTATACAAACAAATAAATAAATCAACTAGCTAAAAAATAAGCTAATTTTTTAAGAAAGGTTGCGAATCAGTCAATATAACCAATAATATACACAGTGAGTCTCGGTATAACGGATATGTTTGTTCCAGGAAATTTATCCGCTATACCGAGCCATCCGTAATAGTAAAAAATCGAATTTTTGATTAAATCATGTGATACATGTTACGTAAAAAATAATTTTATTATTATTATTATGAGTGCAAATAATACCCTTTTCTGTTTGGAAGTGTGGTTACTTTATATTAAATGTTAAATTCCATTATGGACTAACAGCCACATGGAAAGAAAGGGCGGTGAATAGTCGGCCCAACCAATCTGATATAAATCAGATATGGGGGGTAATTATTTGTTTATGTTTTTTTTATCTGTTATTTTATAAATGTAATTGATAATATAAATTTAATAAACATAATAATACAACTACATCGTTAAAAAAAAAAATAAAAAAAAAAAAATAATGAGTGCAAATAATAATGATGATAATAAAAATACATTTAATAAAAAGTTTAAAAAAAAACAATTAAAACGTTGACATTATAACCCAATTATTATTATTCGATCATCTAATTGTGAAAAATTTTATAAAATTTACCCAAAAAATCATAATTTTATTAATTCAAACACGAGGGCAATTAATTCCGTAATAGCAACAATGATGTTTGTTACAATATTAATATTAATATTATGATAATATTTTCCGTTGTTTACTCAAAATAGGGTTTATTCTGTTTATCATTATTATTGTACAAATACAAATTTTAAACTTTAAAATGAAATATTTCACTCAAATTAGTAAAATAATAAAAATGTATATTTTAATTGGTTTTATGAATTTTTTACTGTTTCGCGTTTAATTACACACTCTTTTTTTTCAAACAAAAAAAATTTTCATTCCTTTAAATTTCTTTTGTTAGGAAATGAATTTTATGACTTTATTTTTCTTTACATAAATAAAACTCATAAAATTCATAAAAATTTAAATATTAAAAAATTGGGTGCAGGTTTCACCTTATCATTATTTTATATTCTTTCTTATATGCATATATTTCATACCCTAAAAAAAACAAAAATCAAATTAATAAAACAACTTATTCTGTAAATATTTCGATATAAAAAAAATCATCATGTTTACAACACTTTCCATCGTTCTTGCTGGTGTGAGCGTAGTACTACCAGCTATAAGCACAATCTTTATAATTTACCAAGCAATAAGATCATTTTCCCTAATGTTGACTATAGCATGTCTTTCTGGAACGATAATTATAGAATCAATCAGTATCGTCGATATGTTAATAGTTTTGGATCTTTATCAAGATTCGCCAATCCTCTTGATTTTTTACTTTATGGCAACATCATTTACTTCTATACTATCTTGTTATGTCTTATTAAAAGTTGGGACAAATCTTTATCAAGAATACAACTCCATCAAATCTTTTTTGATATTTGGACCGATAGCTTTAACATTTTTTGTGTTTGCATTGACTATTTACACAACGATTCAATTTATTCTAAAAGATCAGAAAGTTGTGGATCCTACACTCGAGATCACGACAATGTTTCTGAGTATAGCAGCTGGCGTTTTGAGTCTTTTATTTTCATTTGGACCACTATTCTCAATCAGAAAGCAAACAAGGCTTAATCCAGAAAAAACAGCAACTTCAATTCTACAATTATTCATGGTAGTATTATTTTTCATAGCACATTATGTTGTTTATATATTCATAACATTAAAAATACAAATTTTCAGCGATTCCAATGTTAGAATGGATTCTATTCATAATATTATATCAATTCTAATATTTCCTGGATGTTTAATTTCTCCACCAAGAAAAATCCTTAAAAAGGTTAAAAGAAAAATGTTGGGTGTGGAAGAACTTACAATTGGTGGAGACTATAGAGTCAGTGCATTACTTGATAATAATAATTTAGAACCTCCATCATTTACTTACCCAACAAGACAATTAAACATTAATAGCAATAGTATTATTATTAGTAATTATGACTATGACCAATTTACCAATACGAACAATCTTACTTCATTGCCTACTATCGTAACTCAATCTAATAATAATGGTGATGATAACAAATCTCCAAATTCAAGCTCTCCTCTACCACAACATAATAAGAATAATTTTAATAGCAATGTTAATGATAGTTCTAGTCCAGTAACAATTCCTCCCAATACAAGATCAAGAAGCAATACTATAGAAACTGACTCATCAAACAATGATTCTAGCTCAATTGTTCCATTTGTTAATTAATAAATAAAAATTAAAATGATGGACCACGTCTATACTTAAATATAAAATTGATTATTATTAAAAACTATATTTATATCAATAAAAAAAAAGTGGG